CCCCAAAACCCCAAAACCCCAAAACCCCAAAACCCCGCAATTATAACTATTGTCGAAATAGAGATATGAACGTTATGAATCTAGATTTATAATAAATTTAATAGATTAAAATATATCCTCATACATCCTGAGCATTATAAATATCATTTGCTTATTCCTAATGATTATTGCTCCCATTTTCATTTACATCATTTTAGCTATTAGAGTAATTTTTATGCACGTTATTTATTTCTTCTGAGTCTATATTTATATCAGGAGATTCATTCAAGTGCTCCAGTTCAAGATTTAAATTCTTCTAGTTGTTGTCAAACCAATTAGTTTTACTCTGAGCATTCGATTACTATATTTGAATTGCATTAATCTCTTCATCATTAAACTAAGTCATATATTCAAACTCCTCCTTAATGACTTCATCGTTGTATCTATTAACTACATTCTGTCTGGTGACCTAACTGGTCTTGCTTGAGTAATTTTTATTATTTTTCTTCTAGTTATTATTCACCTGCAGCATGCTTTCATTCAGTTCAGGGGTTCTTCTATCATTCATATAAGTCTTTAGCATTTTAGGTGTGTGACTCTAGCTGGTATAATCAATCTAAGATTTATCAAAGTATTCCAAATCATTAACTGAGTACTCTTGCTCGAATCCACCTAGTTGACTATGCTTCATGGTTAGTTCTTTGGCATCTGAAATAAGGGATCTATCCTCTTCAAATACTTTATATGTCTCCATAAATGCCAAGGGATTTTGCTTTTTAAGATTTTAGCTAGAGTTAGACCCTTTCAATTAACCTTTACTATTCTGGTGATCATTCACAGGCATCACTTGTTCTTCTTATTGCTATGGCAATTCCTTTATTAATTATATGAAGACGCCAAGTTCTTCAAAGTTTGATGGAATTTCATTATACTAATCATTAGATCTGAAGATAAATTTGGCACTGAAAATCTTATGCTCTTGTTTAAACACATTCAACTCCCTCTCAATTCTTCTCAAAACTTACATTCCATTAGTGAAAAGGTCCATATCTGACTATCTAAATTTCTTGACTGGTTATTCTCTTATTGTTTAGATCTCATTTCTCAGTTCTGTCCAGGTAATCATCATCATAAGAATTTTCTTTACATCAACTCTGGCTTCATACATTTTCTTGCATCTTAGCAGTAATCTTATAATGTTCTCTCGTTTAGGCTCCTTGTAAAACTAGAATATATTCTTTATAGGGACATCTCCAGAAATTAAATTATCATTTAACACCTCTAAAGTCTTTCTTGCCTTAACATGGACCTAGCCAAGCATATCCTTATTGTTGTAGCTCTAGGCTTTCTTTTTTAGCAATGTGGCCATATATTAGACTTCCATCTCAGTGTATATGTCCTCCTTATCAGGACTATCATAAAATTAGTTTAATGATAACTTACTTTAGATTATTAATGTCTTCTTGCCTAGCTTAAAGGTCATTCTTGGTATTATTATAAGCAGAAGCATCTTGCATATTCTCCTCCTACTAACTCTACTCCTTCAAACTCTTTTGAGATTTCGCTCCTTACTTCCCTCGAAATTAGTCGTATTGATTTTAGATCAATTCGTATAGTCCACTCTATTTCCAATCGTAATTGACATACTCCTGGTCATTTTCAATTTATTCAGCAAACATTTCAATAATGCCAAAGCTACCATCGGTTCTCTTTCTTAAATCAACTTCTTTCTCAGTTTCAATTGCAGCATCAACCATTTTTCCTGAATACAGAGTCTCCATCTGAATGCTTCTGACTTCGGCCTTCATAGTTTATAGGATCTACTCAGCTACATCTTTTGGATCGACTTGCATAGACATATCGTGAAAGCTGAAATCCAATGCTGATAAACAAGCATCTCTCATTGATGGAGGCTCACTAACTGGTCTCAATTCCATATCTATGAATTCCAAACCCCTTCCATAAGGACTGAATGTTTTATTTGCACTCATTGTACGATTTGCCATTTCACTAGGATTATGATTAGTAGAGCATATATGTCTTTCTTTATTGTAATATCCCAGTAGTCTATTCTTTGTCTACCTATGATTAGATCCAGCATATTTGGATTTTTTACCATTTGAACTAGTACCAGGAGATCTGCTTTTCTGTTTAAATTAAGGCTGAGTTCCGCTCCTTGTTTATATATTAACTTCTTTACTAGTTATCCCCTTGGGTGGTGAACCACCAATTTTAACAAAGCTATTATCGCTCATGAGCTTTGAACCCTGAGTTTTGCCAGTGTCTTCTTGAATTTACTGGATATTCCTTGAATCATCGTGAGCCAGCTTCCTCAAGGAAATTGCTCCTGTTTACTGGCCTGTGGCAGCTCTTCTATTATATAGCTCAGCTCCACCCTCTTCATAGAGCTTTTAATTCATATATTTAATTTTCTTCATGTATCTGATGAGATAGTTTGGATCATAATTGGCTAATTTCAAATGTTCTGCTAACTAAGCTGTTTCAGAATCATATCTGCAACATCTACAATACTTATTGTGATGTCTCTACTTGGTTAAGTTGTTGATAATTTTGACTAACTCAGGGGAGAGTGACCTCATTCGTTCTTCTTCATACTACTGTCTCCTCTTCTCCCTCTCACTTATAAGTGGCTGAGTAGGTCCTTGATTTTTATTCTAATCATTTTAACTCTACCTAAGCATCTCTCTCTTCATTTTACGATACCTAACAATCTCTCTGCGTTTTTAATCTAGCTATTTCTTTAAGATATGGTATATTATCTCTTGCCTCTTGTCATACTCCAAGTCCTCATTGTCCAACTATTCTAATTAAGAAGCGTCTATCTTCATGTTCCTATTTAAACTCTTTAAAAGAAGATATATACATATAAGATCTTCTCAAGTTATTAGAAGTCTAGTTGTCTCTGGTTTACATAATAGATGACTGATTTAAAGTAGACTGGTTTCCCATTTGAATACTATACCTACCATCATGCTGGATCGTCTATATATTAAAAAATTAGAGTGATTAATTGATTACAGATTTATTATCATAGCCTCTATGTCCAATACTTTTGTTAATACTGGAATTTTAACTCTATAAATTTAATGATACTACTATTAGCTTACATTGTATTGATTAACTAACGTAGAAGTAATGGGTTTGTGAGGAGCTCTTCCCATCTCAGAATCCTTAATGAATTTGTTTATGTCAATCATAATCTCAGGTATTCCGTATTGGTTCACAGGCTACTTAATTTTCTTGAGATACTGCTGCTGAATATATTTCTGATTATTAATAATTTAGTTTATCTACTGTTGATAATTTGCTTTGTCAAACTTTAACTTTTACAAAGATGAGTCCCTTGACTTTAGTTTGATATGATTATCAGAGACATGCACAGGACTCCTGTTTTGATTGGTAGATGCTCTTGCCTAGTTAATTATTTATTGATCCATGTCATAGGAGTCAGTAAGGTTGGCAGTCTTATTGAAATTTTTATGCTTCTTTGATTTCTACTTATCTTCTGATTATTGCTGATTTAGTACTAATTACTGCATCTAATTTCTATAGCCTTAATTATAATTACCATCTCTTTTTTAGGATTTTTAGTTTATTTGATTTTGCAATTAGATGTTTTGATGATACGGATGAGGATTATGGTTATTTGATGACTTATGATTGTAGATGTTTTTTTACATATTGTTTCGTTTTTGCAGGTTAGCGTTCCAGCTAGACTCGTTTATTATTGAAGGGAGTTGAGATTGATACTATACTATTTGGAATTACTCATCAATGTTGTTAGAGTTAGCTTTAAGTTTGAGTACATCTTGCTTGAGTTAGTTTGTATCTAATCCGTGCATATTATGTTTTTTTAGAATTTTTGCCTTTTTAGATGACACTACCATTGACTAAGCATCTCTCTGAATATTCCTCACAGGTGCTAATTCTAAAGCATTGATAGTGGTTATCTTGCCTTGCCCCTAAATCCTTTCAAATTTCCTCATTTACTAATTAGATTAATCCTATATCTTGCCCATAGCCATGACAAGGGGAGTAATTGATGGCGACAATGGACTGTAGGGGATTTGGATTTTTGAGTTTTTGTGGCTATTCTTGCCTTTCTCAGTTATTTCACTTAATATTTTGGTCTGCTAGGGGTTACTTGATTGGTAGTACCTTGATCGATAATCATTAATCTTGGTGCTATCCATATTTAAACTGTCTTGCTACTGCTCTATAGATTAAAACTACTACTGCTATTATTGTTGGTGCTACACTTTCTTACGTAGATGCATAAACTCATTAATGTTTATGAACTCTGAGTTCTTAGACTAGAATTAAGGACTTCCACCCACTCCACTCTCAACTGGTTAGCTTATGAGTTCATTAGTGGCTGGAGGATTTACAAAGGACTATGCAAAGGGAAAATACAACTCGTTCATTGATTAATTTAGCTTATATATATTTTATTCAATTTATTTTGCTATACTCAATCATTGAAACTTTATATTTTTTCAGATTTAAGTCTCTCGGGGTTTTGGGGTTTTGGGGTTTTGGGGTTTAGATATCTAGAAGGTATA